GCCAAACATAGGACATATCAATATTCGCATATTCATCCAAAAACATGAAAATTCTTAATGGAGTACCCTCATTTTTTATTGAATTCCTAAAAAACAATATTTATAATGAATTTTAATAATTTTTTCGGATTTTTTTGAAGCTTTATTCTGACCGATTCACCCGATTCCGATCCGGACCGCCGATTCGCCGATCCGGATCGCCGATTCGCCGATCCGGATAGGTTTTTGAAAAGCCCGATCCGGGTCACCGATCCGGTTTTTAAACCATTGGTTTAGAGCCTCGGCTCCGTGTATATATATATTAAAATGTAGAATTTTAGATGCACCTCAAAATTTTAACGGAAAAGGTTGTTTTAATGTCGAAAAACCACCTAATTGATCATCTCGATATCGAGATATAAGAATATGAAAAAAAATTAAGATTTTGAGTGCAAGAAATAGTGCATCTTGGAAACATTATCTAGACCATCTATTTTCATAATTTCTATACTTGATTTTAACTATTTTTTGAATTTAAAATTTTATAATTAAATTAAAAATAGAATTTAAAATAATTTTAAAAAAATTTGACACAATAATTATATATTATGATAAAATTTAGAGGTGCGTCGTAGTTGGATTGTTTTAAGTTGCGACCTCATAGAAACCACACCCATATGTAATTCCCTTCCGACTTGCCCAAAAAAAAATTCCATTCCTGCATTTCTCATTTTGACGTGTGGTGTTAGGATCCGCCAGGTGGCCTGATCCTAAAATTAGGGTGCAAGCTACACAATGCAGTCTGATGGCTAGGCCGGGCAAGGCTTGGACTAGGGCAGCAGGACTCGGAACATTTTCTCCTTATTGTTTTTTTAACTTTTCTGAGTGATTTGCATGTGGATAAAGTTTTTCTTTCTAAAATACAAAATGCTTCGTAGTTAGAAGTTACAAGGGAGGTCGATCAATTCATTGTTTTATTTTTTTTAAAATTGCACCTCAATTTGAGAAAAGAATCCTTTTTTTATTTTTTCTAAAATTGCACCTCAATTTGAGAAAAGAATCCTGGGCTTTTTATTTTATTTTGTTTTTTTTAAGGTTTTTCTTTACTAAGCTAGTGGCCCAAGCTTTAGGGTAGTGCCTTGCTAATGATCAAATTAAGAAAGAAAATATTAAAAATCGGTTCGATGATGTCTTCAAACTGAGGGACAATTTCATAAAAAATAAAAAAAAACATGTTGCCCAATCTTCTTTGCAATTTTTACCTATAAATGAAGAATTTTGTATTTTTGAAAAGGTCTTAGGGTCCATACTCAATGTTTTTTAGTTGTATTTGGCCTGGCCCGGTCTTCATAAGCCTAAGGCCCTTTGGCTTGGTCTGAGTTGGCTAGGAACTTCAAGGACAAGGATTAGGGCTGCAAGGCCGGGCCCTATATGAATGACTTTATGGATTCCATTCTCCCTTTCTTAGGACTAGCAATAGGTCAAGCAACCAGGTCGGCTAGCCGTAAAAAAGTACGGTCTAGGCCACAAAATGTTACCCGAGTCCGAGCTAGGGCCATTGCCATCTCTACCCTTACTCTTTCTATCTCTAAATATCTACTATAATGTATTTTCTAAAGGCTAATCATTAACATGTCTTACTCCACTTATATATTTATTTCCTAGGGCTAATCATATGTAGTACGCTTATATATTTATTTAGTACATGGCAATAAAATACATATATATTTAAGTGATTGTAATAAAATACATATATATTTATGTGATGGTAATAAAGAATTTGAAGGAAGGTGGAGGGAGCTGTCTTCATTAAAAGCCTAAACCTTGCCGGTGTCCCACTTGACCTGGGCATGTCTACCTGGGTTTGTCTTGTTTACCCAATCCCTTTTTTTTCTTTATTTCTCCACCACAATACGCCAAGTTTGTCTTCCCTCTCTCTACAATCGATGCTCTCTCTCCAACGGTTCTTGTTTCCTTTGACATTGACCCCTCTCCATCTCTCTCTACCATCCTGGCTTTTTAGGTTTTAATTTTTTAGGGTATAGCTAGGGTTGGGCTTGGGCTAGGGTGCCTTTGCTAGGTCCGGGCCGAGACTTGGCCTGAGCCAAGGTGTCTTTGGTCCTTTTAGCGCTAGGCCTGGCCTAATCTAGCCCTTTAAGGATTAATGCTTCTGACTCCGGCCCATTGCCAGCCCTAATAAACTTACGTAGTTGGGATGGTCTCTTGTTAAGAAAGCATAGTGTTGTCATTTTTCTATTTAAATCTAACGTCAAGTTGTTGTGCCACTTCCAAAATAAAATGCTTAATTAAAGATCAATAGGGTAATTAGATAATTTATTTGTCTTGACCTAGAGTTTAGACTTTGTAAGGTTTCCTTAATTTCCTAATAAAAGTAGATGAATTGGTGCCGTTTAGCAAGGCATGAAATCTGGCAAAGATGATGTGGCTCCACTAGACGACACAGGTTTACGCAAATAGAATTTCTTTGGATAAGTGGGTGTTTTCTATGTGGAGTGTTGGGGGTCGCTTCCACCAGGGATCCAGGGGACTGGCAACCTGGCCTGGTGGGGCTGTGATGTAGGGAACCTAGGAAACCCTTAGTTTTCCTATTTCTTAACCTTAGGAATGATGACGTTTATATGAGGCACTCTCTTTGACTCTAGTAATAAGGAGCACCCTTAAATTTTGTCTAACTGAAAATGTAGTTTCGTTGCGAGAAACCTATGATAGATTGAAACTCTATTAGTCAGGACATTTAAAATTCTAAAAAGAGCACAGATCGAGCAGATCTATAAAAATTTTGAAAATTTTGAAAATACATGGTTTAAATAGTTTGTTACAATATACCATTTTGAAAACCTGAAAATTATTTTTTCTTCATACCCATATATTTCATGGTCGAGATGATCAATCAGAAGATTTTCTATTGATAAAATACTCTCTTCTAGAGAAATTTTGAAATGCACCTTATTTCAATAAGTTGGCATCTTATGTAAACCTTTTCTGGTCAAGAATCTTTCCCTTAATGATCCAAGTCCAATGAAACTGGTGTAGGCCAAGCATTCGGATTAAAATAAGGTATTTGCCCCTTCTAACCTACTCTAAGGGAGTGTTTGATAACCACGTAAAGGGTAGATAAAACTCTGGTATTTGCCCCATCTCACCCATACTATAATATAAGAGGTCGTACTTGCACCTCTTAAAAAAAAACCATAGTCGTAGATATTATCACCGCGCATTGAGCAGATGATCGGTGACAAAGAGAGGCTGGGCAGATATGGTCGGGTCTTAGTAGTGTGACACCTGCTATATCACCATCCATCATTCGAGGATGAGGCAATGATTTTACATTGCCATCATTGTTTTGAGTGGACGCATCAGAAATGGAGGGTGGAAGATTTAATAAAGCGAATGACCTAATTTGCCCCGTCATTAGTATCCTTTCATTGTTAATTTATTATTACTGTAGAATTGATCTCTCCATCAGTATTCATCACTTAGTGGAGTGGTGTCCTCTGCCTAAACTATCATCTTTCCATGTAAGGTATTGGGACTCTCTTCGGCCAAGGAGCTCACTCTTTCACCAAGGTGAGTTATTCAGGCAATCTTGAGTAACTAACTTGAGTTATTTGGGCGATCTGAGTAACTAATTTGAGTATTTACTTAATGTATTCAATATTTTTGAATGCTCAATGCCTCTATTCTACTACATAGTAATGTTTTACTTAGGATTATTTCAAATAATTAAATAAAGGAAAATTTGAAATTTTTGATAGAAAGAAAATCATTTATTATTTATAATGGAGGATGATATCATCGTGACATCACCCACATGGAGCACTAATATATTTTAAAACCATTAATAAATCACACTAAATACCTATCCTAACACTTCTAATTGTAAAAAGTGGCATTACTAAAAAAACATTTGTATTACAAAACAACGGTAAATGAATGTCGAAAAAAGTTGAGTACATAAATAAAATACCCATTTATATGAGTACCTTAACATAACCTATATATATATATATATATATATATACGACCAACCAACAATAATGCGACGAACGTCGTTTACTTAACAAACAAACTAATAGTAGGTAGTGCACTCGCCTCGAGTCTACACTGAGGTCGAGTCGTACGTC